AGTAACTTCCCATAGCCCTGGGTCAACCCCTCCCTTTCCTTGAAACCTTCAATTTGTTTCAAGGAGGAGAACAGATGCTTTCACAGTTTACCCCTAGATAAATTAAAACAAAAACAAAAAACACAGATATTCTGGTGTTGGAGTTTTCATGAATGCAGTTCTGTGCTGAAAACTGTTTCACTGACTGATTCAAATAGAAATTGCTTGTGGATATTTTTAACTATCACTGTTTTAAATTCAACATGATATCACAAAGTTAGCAGATGTGTTAATAAGAATTTTAGTAACATACTCTACAGTGCCTACTTTTAAAAAATGGGATTTTAATAAAATCTAAAAATACTTATAGTAGCTCTGTGACCCCGGGCTGATGCACAAGACATTACCACTGGTTTTCATTTAGGATACTTAGGGGCATTAACATGTCTGTTTTCATTATACATGTCACAGGTGGGGAATATCATTATAGTCACAGATCAGCTGGCAGTCAGTCAGGAATCCACCAGGTATCCATCATGGCCCTGTCAGGTATGAGGCGGCCATTTGGCTGTGTCTGTAATACATAGAGATGGTTATGTGGAAAAATCTCAGTAAAGTGACTGCTTCTGAAATACTCAGACCAGACCATCCAGGACCATGTCACTTAACTCATAAGTGACAAGGTGACTGATTTAATTTGCTAGTTTTGCATTTGGCTAGGGCCAGTGTCACTAATGGCAGCATGAAGTGATACTTGAACTTATCGAGGTTGCACAGGCTGCATCAATATGTGCCATTACCTGAAGGTTTGCGGCGTCTCCCAGCAGAGTCTCAAGAACATGGAGATGATCCCAAGAGACCGGCACCCTCTCTACGAGAACTGGACAGGGTTGTATATGGTCCTTAACCCATCAGCAGGACCTGTATCTGCTCCTTTGTACAAAGAGGAATAGAATGAACACTGCCATAGCCCTCCAGCAGGCCACTGGTGTGAATGTTTTGAACCAAACAATCAGAAACCTTATCTTTATAAGGCTGGCTTGATAGCCCGGTGTTGTTTAGTGTGTCCTGTGCTCACTGCCCAGCACTGTGTTTGGAAACTTGCATTTGCCATAGAACAGCAGAATAAAGTAGTTTTGTGTGTTGTTGTAGTCAAATTCTTCCAAAATGGAGTAGGCTCCATTCAACACTACTTTAGAACTTCAGGTTGGTAGTTTGACTCCCAACCTGGGCGTGTATCCAAATTGATGACACCCCCCCACACGCCAAATGCTATCCAAACATATCATGGAATATGTGCGAGAGATATATAACGGACATCACAAGGATTAAGAAAGTCCACATCAGGTGTGCAGGAACCAGGACACACTGATGAGAAATTTGCAGAGAAACAACTAGTAGCTCAGTGTTCCAACATCTGGAAGAAGCAACTGCTATCACAACTAGAGATAGATGACATGCAACACAAACGCACCAGCAAGGCAGAGCAAGAATGCCAGGTCAGGGGTGAGATATCAACACCCTTACCCTCCAATTCAATTTCAATTCAATTTTGTTTAGAGCACCAAATCAGAACAACAGTTGCATCAAAGTGCTTTATACTGTAAGGTAAAGAACCTACAAATACAGAGAAAACAGACAAAACCCAACAATCATATTATCAACTATGAATAATCTCTTTGGCAACAGTGGGAAGGAAAAACTCTTTTTTAACAGGAAGAAACTTCTGGCAGAACCAGGCTCAGGGAGTAGCAGCCATCTGCCACGACTGGTTGTGATTGAAGGGAGGAATGCAGGAGAAAGACACATTATGGAAGGGAGCTAGAGATGAGTAATAACTAATAATTAAATGCAGAGTAGTGTATAAACACATAGTGAGTGAAAAAAGTGAAGAAGAAACACAAGTGGGGCCTTCCCACAATGCCCAGCAGCCTAGACTTATTGCAGTGTAACTAAAGGAGGATTCAGGGTAACCTGATGTTTTGTCAATAAGTAAAGTTTTAAGCCTAATCTTAAAAGTACAGATGGTGCCTGTCCCCTAAATCCAAACTGCTAGTTTTGCAGAATAGGTGTCTGGAAGCCTCACATTCAACCTTTAAATACCCTAGGAACTACAAGTAAGCCTGCAGTCTGAGTGGGAAATTCTCTATTGGGGTGATACGGTACTATGAAATCTTTAAGATAAGATAGGGCCTAATTATTTGAGACTTGTATGTGATAAGAGTGGTTTTAAATTTTATTCTGGATTTAACAGGGAACCAATGAAAAGAAGCCAGCATCTAGTTGTTATAAGTGATCTTGCCACAGCATTTTGTAACAACTGAACGCTTTTCAGGTAGTTTTTAAGACATACTGATTAGGGCTGCCACGATTAGTCGATTAGTCACAATTAAAATTGTCGACGACTAATTTAATAGTCGACGCATTGTTTGAAGCTTTGTAAGATCCCAAAAGACGCAGGAATAAATAGTAGGATTTAAGAGTGTAATAACGGACTGAAACAGAAGATGGCAGCACTGCATGTACAAGGATGCCAGCTGCCGTTAAACCTCGAAGAAGAAGAAGCAGTGTCCGGTATCATAGCTGTGTCCAAATTCAGGAACCGCATTCTTCTGTGCCCGCATTTGTAGGCCGATTACATTACAGCGACACGATGAAGACTGTCCAAATTCGAAGACTCTGACAAATGCGGCCGACAAACATGCTCTTTGTTTCCCCAGATTTGAAGGATGGGTTGGGTGTATACTTCGTGGCCCAACCCATCCCAGAATTCATAATACGGCCCTGCTAAGTTTCCAACAATGGCGGCAGTTAGTTAGTTTTAATATTACTCTTATTATTCTTTCTGGGTCACAAAAGAAACGTTTAACATATTTTCAGGCGAGAATGTAGCTGTGTAAACCTCAAATATCGGCTCAGTTTATCAGGACACCACATATTTTCAAAAGCGCTCCGACGTTTTCGGAGACGCCTGTTATCCACCAGCTTGATAGCTAGCCGGGGCTCAAGGCTCACTAGAGCTGGTGAGAACACCGGACCCCCGGCAAATCGTTTTCAAGCCCACCACCGGTCTTTTGCTACTCAGGTTAAACATGATATATAAGTCACTTAGATAACTTAAAAATGTTATTGTTTGGCTTTTTTCAGTATTTTATTTATTTCTGAGTAAATCGGTTTGGCTGAGATTAAAGTTATAGTTTTTTTTATAGCTGAATAAACGTCAAGCAGACAACTGATTACCAGAAGTGTGAGATGCTCGAGAATATACTCTAGTGTCCTGTTATATTTTAGATAGCAAGGAGCAAACAGCTGAGTTTATTAATCTCCACCGAAACAATCTGCAAATTTCATTTAAATTTAATAAACTATCATCTTGTCTTTATTTTTAATTAGCACATACCTTAAACACTTAAAGCTGTAAGCTAATGATAGTTATATAAGAGCAGATGCATGCTGGTGCAATAAGCTGTACGTTTTACGTCCAATGGATGCATGATCTCATTAGTCGACTAATCGCAAAAATAATCGGTGACTAGTTGACTATCGAAATAATCGTTTGTGGCAGCCCTAATACTGACAATAACAAATTAGAGTAGTCCAGCCAATTACCAAGACTACGTGAAGTACCAGGTCTACCAGATGATGTGAATGCAGCATTACAGACAACACCTACTGCAACCATTACGGAAACCAGTCAGCTGATCTACACCACAGAAGCAGTGCTCACTGAGGTTCCCATTTGCCTAAGGATTCCCCAGTACTTGTAGCTATCCTCATTGCCTGCAGTGTTGCCTTCTGGTAGTTTGATCACCTCAGTTCTGACTACCTTCCCTCTCTTTGTTACCATCTGACTACACTTTGAATGGCATTCCAATGTCCTTGCTGTAGATCTTGTGGTGTGGATCAGTGAACCATGGTCTTGTTCACTGTTGGCATACAGCTTGATGTAATCCATGTACAGGAGGTGGCTGACAGGTGCTCCATTCTGTAGTTGGTATCGGAGGTCTTGTTAATGATGTCACTGAGGGGGTTCAGGCCTATGCAGAACTGCAGTGGAGACAGAGCATCTCCTTGGTAAATCTCAGTGGTTCATCTGCCACTGAGATTGGATGGTTCTGTGGAGAACAGCTGGTTTAGACTCCTGCCTTCTTTTTCTCTTGTATACCAAACGGCTTCAAGCGACTGGCCAAGGCTTTGAGTCTTTGCGTTGCAGTGTCCAAAGCCTCAGGTATGGACAGCCTGCTGTACTTCATTCCACCTTTCTGCAACTCTGAAGGTTGGCTAACTTCCCTCTGTGCTACCTTGATCTCGGCCTCGAGTCTCCTTCTTCATGGAGGGTACTGCTCCTTGTGGCTATTCATCTTATAGCCAAGCATCTCGCTCATCACTGCTGCTGTGGTGTAAATCAGCTGGTTAGTTTCGGTAATGGTCGCAGTAGGTATTGTACATAGTGCTTCATTCACACCAACTAGTACATCTTCAGATGGTACTTCATGCAATCCTAGTAACTAGCTACAGAAGGGTCCAGGTTTCAAGCTTTGCTATGATCCTATCTTTCAGATCAGTTCTTCTCGCACTCAGCTCTCCTTCTTCCATCACACTTGATACGCAAGCAATTGTTTCGCCATCAGTCTGGATGCTGGGTATCGAAGATTCCACAAGTCCCACATCCTATTCGTGTAGCCCCCACTGCTTGCATAGTAGTAACAGCAAACCTATTCTCATCTCTTGCCCCTTTGTGCCTTCTTGTTCCAGTAGCCAACTTCGCATCAGTGTGTCCTGGTTCCTCAACACCTGATGTGGACCTTGTTAATCCAGGCGATGTCCAAGCTGGTATGGCTTCAGCCTACCTCACATCCAAGGTAGGCTTGGTCAGCATGGGGGGCGGGCTACCCGAGGGTATCCAATCCCTTATTGGATACAGACACCCTGGTCAAGAATCAAACCCCTGACTCCCCTTCCAAAGGCTGGTACTTTGGAACTCCCAAGGAGAGATATTTCAAAATCCCCCCCCCCTCATCGTGCAAACAGCGGGTTATTATCGTAACTGCTGTAAATGGTATGATATGTCCTGTCTGCAAAATCCATCCATCTAGAGGTTCGTGCTATAAAATGTAAATTACATCTTTGTTCAGTTTGTTGTTGAGTTTGTTCAGGTCAGTTCAGTTTCCCTGTGGCACAGGAACAGAACAGGAGGGAGAGACAGAAAAAGATCATCGTCTATCCAATAAGATAGACGATGATCTTTCTTGGATTCAAGTGCACATTTGAAGTCTGTGAGAATAGTTTGCAGCCTTGTCTTGCGAGTCATTTCTGCACAGACGCCACGAAATGCACAGACGCGCGCACGGACAACACAAAGCGCACGGTCAATTTCGGGGAGGCTCTTGCTGAGAAAGAGCAGCAGTGCTCATCGTGCAAACAGCACATTATTATCGTAACTGCTGCAAAGATATATATATATAAGATATGTCCTGTCTGCAAAATCTAACCATCTTGTGGTTCATGCTATGTATGATAATGTAAATTACATCTTTGCTTAGTTTGTTGTTGAGTTTGTTCAGGTCAGTTCAGTTTGGTTTTTTTGCAATAAAGTGTTATTGTTCCAAAAATAATAATGCATCCAAATCAATGTTGTTATGAATTATTTACCTATTCAAGGCTCTAATAACCTCATGCCAAATATTTCCAGTTGCAACTAATTTTTTGAAAATATTGGATATTATGGGTTCCCGCCCCAAAAAAATAAACAGGGGTCTTTATGACAATAAAGCCATAAAAACCTAAAAAATATTTAAAAAATAATGAAAAACTTTATATCTGTGGTTAGGTCTGAAGTTGTTTAAAAGATCTGATGTGAAAAAAATCAGAAAAAAAATTCATATATGATATTGCTATATCACCTTTTGTCAGGGGACCATTTTGGGTACGAAGGGACAATGGGTATAAATTTTGAGGGATGCTCAAGGGTTAAGATGGCAAGGTGATCCAACCTGCAGCAGATGTATCTATCCCAGACAGCTTGGTGTTGCAGGACGGACATTATTATTTCTATTAAAACTAAATGTACACATTGAAACAAAAATAATTGTGCGCAGGAGTGAAACATTTTAATATTGTCATAATTTCAAACAGCAATGCCTCAACATCAGATTATCAATTTTGTTTAATGTGAATCACTTGGTTTCTTTCTCTCCATCAGGTGGGAGGTAGCACAGAGGCTTTCTTAAGGCTGGCCCCACTCAGCCATTCGTCCTGTGGGTTGGAGAAAGAAAGAACATCATCCAAAGTTTCTACCAAGTTTTACTGTCCTAGATCAAAAGGTCATTCCCTGTGTGACACAGATGGGAGATGCAGGTTTTGACAAGGCAAAACTTTTCAAGGCACATTTTTTAATTTGCCGTGTCCTTTGATAAGGCATTGGACAACTTCTACACATTCATCCAGACCACCGTGTATGGCATTGATGTTGGCAGCGTGAAGGACAGTCCTCGGGTCAATGAAACAAGAGGAAGTCTTCACTGTACGGTTTAAAGATATCCACTATTCAGCACTTTGACTGGAAATGTTCATCTGTTACATTTGCAAGATACACCACACAAGTTGCTCAGTGTTATTTAGACATTTGAAGTTCCAGCATGGTTTGTACCCAGGAAAGTTTTTACGTTTGACCTGTGGAGAGCCTGGATGTTCATTTATCTTTCACACGTACTCTGGTTACAAGCGGCACTTATTCCGAGCACATGGAGACTGCGTTCACTCTGAGGTCATCAACAATTTTGAG